GTTCCAAACTGAGCATCTATATTGGTATTGTGCTGCCCAGGAAACAACAAACATTAGTTAATAGTTACTCAAGGGCTAAAAGTTACTGAGAGAAAACTTATTTATTTTCTCTTATTGCTGCAGCCAATGAATAAAAAGGAACTTATGAAGAGGTACATGGACTTGGGGGAAGCCAGGCTGGTTGGCAAAGATGGAATGGTGAAGAGAGATAGAGTGTTGCTGTAAACTACTTTAAGCTATACTTCCGTGTTCTTACCTCATGCCATTCATTACTTTGATTTCCTGTTTTTGGTCTCCTTCTTCTCTTTGCATAATATTTCTTATCTCAGAAAGGAATCACATGATGGGTATGTACATGGGTATGCATGTATGGATGGACTGCCACAGTTCCTACAGGAACTTAGTCTGGACACATGCAGGCCCTTTCCAGCATTTCATGATTCAGTGTTAATTCTTCAGAGACTTGGTGATCCATCATCACGAAAAAATAAAAATAAAAGGCTCTCCTAGCTGAATTATTCATATCTTCAGCCTGCTAAACTAGTTAATACAAGACAGCAGACTTTTTCCTAGGCTCTCTCCGGGCATATTCATTTGTTTGAAAGATTAATAATCTAACCCAAAATAGATCTTTCAATATCTTTGTCTCTAGTCATTGTTTGAACCTTGTTCTTAAGAAACAAAAATAATATCTACATCCACAAACAGATTAATTTCAAGCTGAAACAGAGTGAAATGGGTGGGTATGCATGTATTTGTTTCATACTAAATCAATATGAGGAAATTGGGACTGCTAGATCCATAATGCAAATTATGGTAATCAAAACTGGTGTCTGACCTGGGTTGCCTTTTAGTTAATTTGAAGAAAATGCTGATAAGGCTCGGACATCGCAGTTCTGTTTGGATGCCTCTTCTAGCTATTTATATTATTTAATCCCACATGTGACAAGAAGTTCCCCTTTTTAAATTGCAACAAAAGAGAAGGTGCTGTTTGCTGTGTTCAAAATACTTGTGCAAGACAGAGCCTGTTGTCCAACTAGATTTAAGATCACAATGAAATCTGTTTGCCACATTGAAGCCAAACTAGAATTTGTGGTCCGACTGAAGACCTGTGGATTCTTTACCAGGAAAAAAGCCAGTGTGGTGTAGTAGTTAAGGTGTTGGAATAGGAGTGGAAAAAGCAGACTTAAGTCCTGCACTCCTCAACTATGGCAACTCTCTAAATGACTTTGGCTTAGTCACTCTTGGCCCAACCAACCCTACAAGAATGTTGCTGATGAGATAAAATGGAGGCCCCTTGGAAGCTTCCTTGAGCAGCACATAACAATCATTACTTTATCCCCATATGACTGCAAAACAGCCACAAAATGTTGGGGAACTTTCCTGTTTCAAACCCAAGAATTTAGACAAGTATAAAGCTGGCTTGATATACCCATTTCGAGTGAATAGCCATGAAACTGTGGAAAGTGGGACAGAGAGACAACATTTCACCATGCTAAAATTAAGCATCTATCGGATTTTTTTTTTTTATCAGGAAAGACAAACTGTTTGGGAATGGAGAATTCCTGATAATTAATACATGTAGTCCTTGATTTAGAACCACAATGGAGCACAAAATTTATGTGGGCTAAATGAGACATTTTTTTAAATGACTTTTGCACCCATTTTATTATCTTTTTTGCCACAAGTGAATCACCACAGTTGCTAAGTTAGTAACATGGTTGTTAAATGAATCTGGCTTCCCCAATGACTTTGCTTATCACCAAGTCTTTAAAGCAGCCATGTCTTTCCCCCAGATTGTGCAGCTGCCTTCTGCAGCTACCTATTGATTTAAGAAAAGGTATGGCTGCTTTAAAGGAGAGCAGGTAGGCCCAAGTTCACACTTCTATGCTCTGTAAAGCATCTTTTTGGAATCAAACTTGAAGTACAAGATATCCATATCATCTAATCATCTTCTCGGTTCTTCCATAATTGTTCCTCTAAAATGAAAATATAGCTACAAAACTGGCTCACTCCCCAAAGACTTCATAGCCTAAATAGAATGTAAATCCAAAAGTGAAAAGCATAGTTGATTCATAGCAAGAGTCAAAATTATAAATGCAAGATTCATAACTATAGGGTCTCCCAGCAGTTGTTTGTCTGAGAGCAGATTTGTGCAGCTTTGCATACTAAAGATAAGCAAATGGAGCAAGTGTCCTCTAATTCAGTAAGATTTGTTGGGTAATTAATCATTTTCCTTTATTAGGATAAATATGGTCCTTTAAAGGCAAGTTTTTGCATCTATAATAGCCTTTTTTTTAAAAAAAAATCTGCTCCTTTAGGAACAATTTCTGTGGCCTTTACAAATGGTGGCTATAAAATTGTTTTTTTTAAATCACAGCTATTGATGATACCATGCATATGTTTATTTTTTTTAATTAAAGGTGCAAATATCCCATTCTGTCATCACCAGCATCTTGGGAACACATTTATTCCCAAGAAATATGGGGGAAATTTATCACTTACTTTCAAAAACAAATTGGTTATTTTTCCTTTTTTCTTAAATCCAAATTCAAAATCTTTCCCCCTTTTAAAGAAGGATACTGGGCATAATGCTATGTCAAGCTGTGGGATTTTCTCAGGGGATACTTAGGGGTTGTAGGAAGTTGGCCATACAAGAACAACATCTCTCCTGCTTTGAACAAATCTTAATGAAGCTCATTTTTTCCAGTCCAAATATTCCTTGCACAAAATAGGCCAGTTCTGTCAGCTAAGAAACTGGATTATTTTATTTATTCCCACCACAATTGCAAATTCTCTACAGTTCAATTTCAGATTTAGGAAGACAATCAAAAAAGATTTATGTAAAGTTACTTTTCTAAGGCCTATTCTCACTTTTATGGAAATAGGTATTCTCTCTCTTTTACTTGTTTCACCCTCACTAACAGTGAGGATGTTATATATAATGGCTTATATATAATGGCACTTGGCCGAAGACCGGCCCTGTACTATAGCTTTAAGGAGAACAGTCTTACTTATAAAAAAGGGATCATGAGACTTACTTGGCTAGCACTCTCCTATTTGGTTGTGTAACTGTCACAATGCCCACTCTTTTTTGGAATGCTCTACAAAAGTTGGAGAGGTCAGGGTGAACTCAGATTTAAAAGAACAAATCTGATGTAAAAACAACTATTGATCTCCCTTGCTTAATATATACATTGTGCATCTACAATTATGGTAAGATAACAGAAACAACTTCTGTTTATAATTTTGGGAAGTAAATAAACTTCCCAATTAACAACAGTAATGGATTTTCTTTTGTTTTATTTAAAGATTACTGCTGTTCTTCACAATAGCAATTTATTAGGAATATGAAGCACCTTGAAACTCTGTAAGGCAAAGATACCTATTTAAAGAAGCTAAATGATACTTATGCAATCCCGGGAAAATACTTGATTGAGTTTAGAAAGCATTATCAGGATGGGGCAAGGTATAACAGGTGTACCTTCTAACTCTGCAACCTTCTTAAGTCAAAAAGGTTATTTTTCTTACAGTGCATAGCTACCATGCAAGCCAAGCAAAAATGTAGATTCTTTAGAAAGACCCCCATAAGTGTGGTTGATGTGGGTACCCAGCCCCATTCTGAAACACATTTTCAGAATGGAAACCGAAGACCTGCATATCCTTGCTATTTATTTACACATGTGTACATTCCCCTTGTTTTTTGTAGCCCAATCCACAGTTCAGTATCTCAGCAGGCCAGAGCACCTGGCTAATCTTGTCTAGGTTGAGATGCTGAGCAGGCAGACCTCATTAATATTCAGTTGGGAGGCCTGTAGAGATATGTGTGTGTGGATTAGCAAGGATCAGTTCAAGGCAAATTGGAGAGCTGTTACATAGGATAACAGAGTCCTAGCCCAGCGCTATTTCTTTTGCAAGGGCTTCTCCATCAATAAGTAACTATTCATAGTGTTGCTCTAAGGCAGGGTTCATTAATAAAACTTCCCTGGTTGCAGCAATCTAGAACAAAAGATACTATTTTCTCTTTCCTCCCCTCTTCCCCACCTTAATTTATTTTGAGATAATTCAACACCTCCAGTAGTTTGTTCCTTCATCTGACTCAACTTTAGATTACACAACTTAAGCTATGACAATGCTTTCAAATTATTCAAATTATTACTCTGAAATTATAAATTTCAAAGAATTGAAATTTCACAAGCTGCTTGATAGCCACATGTTTTAAAGAGTGCTAAATGTCTTTATTGTTCTCAGTTCTGATTATGTAAAGCAGGGGTCTCAAACTGCGATGTCATATCATCACGTGATGTATTGTGACTTTTCCCTTCGCTAAACCGGGGGTAGGCGTGCCAGCGTAACACATCCAGCCTCCAGGCCACGAGTTTGACACCCCTGATGTAAATGATTCTTTGCAAGAGTTGTTTTTGACTCCTGAGAACTGTTGTATTTCATTCAAAGTTGAGAGTATTCCAAAAAAAAAAAAGGAGACATTTTAATATTTTTTTAAAAAATACTGCCAAAGGTAGTTTTACTCTGGTAGTTGAAGACTATCAACATTGTTTACTATGATTTGAGAAAGTGTGTCAGAAATAATCTGATCTATTGTATTCAATATGACTATGTCTATAACACTTAGTATAATTACATCAGAAATTTTAAAAATAATAAATTCAGGCTTAAATACAGATAGACCTATACTTACAACAGTTCATTTAGTGACTGTTCAAAGTTACGGCACTGAAAAAAGTGACTCATGACCATTTTCCACACTTATGACCTTTGTAGCATCCTCATGGTCAACATGATTTACATTCTGATGTTTGACAACTGGTTCATATTTATGACAGTTGCAGTGTCTCAGGGTCATTTGATCATCTTTTGCAACCTTCTGACAAGCAGACAATGGGGAAGCCGGATTAACTTAACTGTATTACTCTTTTAACAACTGCAACGATTCGCTTAAAAAAGAGAAGATAGTGAAATTCTGTCTTTCTTATTTATTGTTTTTTAACAAATCAAAGACTAAATTCAGAAGGAAGCTTTTATATTGAAAGACTTTAATTTTTGAGCAGTTGAAACAGTGAACAAATTGAAGGTGTTTTCTGGGTCTACTGCCACTGCTGTAATTGCTGGATTTTCTTACGAAAAAAAATGTTATTATTGCAAAGTGTTTGCACACTTTTGGAACAAAAGTTTAGAATATTAAGTCACAGAGAGTCACTGACAGTCAAAAGATGAAATACAGCTATGTAATTCTGCACAATACATCAATGTTCTGCTTTCTTCTTGTCTTTTCTCGTTCTTTTGTTCTTTCCAAGAGGCTTAGATGAATTTTGCTAGAGAAATAAATTATAAAAAAAAAATCAGATAAACATATCTAATTAATGTTACTTTTTTACACAGATCACATGCTTTTCTGAACATTGCAAGCATATAGTCAGGGTTAATTACCTAAAATTAATATTGTATTACACTTACTTTATCCCTGTCATGAATGCTTTGGGAAAAGTTTTATATATATAAATTATTTAGTATTATTTGTGTTGGGTAAAAAATGGTTATAAAAGTAATAAAAGCTTTATAATTGTTTAAATGAGAAAAACTTACAACCAAGTTTTCATATTTTTTTTCTTAAATAAAAAATAAATTTGATAAAATAAATTCACTTACTGGATGTATTGTAGATAGCATTCACTGTCACTGATGTTAGGCGTGCATTTCAGCTCTACCCTTACCCATACCAAAAGGAACATTTCAGAAGGAAGCTAATGCGACAGATGTTTTACTAAAAACTTACAGATATATTAGTGTAATTCTGCTCCACAAGTATATTTCTGGCACAATTGTTGATGTGTTTGAAACGATCTGGTCCTAGAAGGATACCACCATACCAGCGAGACACCACCACCAAAACATTGTGGACATTGAGGATCTATATTTTAAAAAATCACATATTCATATTTAGAAGATGATTCACAACCATCTGATTCACTTTATTACATACGAGCATTTCTTAATTATCAGCGCAACCCCATACTATCTGCAAAATATCATTGTCCAAAAACATACCTTTGCAGCATAGAATCCATGACTTAAAGCAAGCCATCTTGATAGTTGTGGCTGATGCCATTAAATCTGTTTTATCAGGTATTCATTTTCAGACACCATGCAAATTTGATATTAGCTTTAAACAAAAAGCAGAGCTTAAACTGAAAGCAGAGCTTCTTTCTAATAGGAGAAAGATGGAGGAAGCTGATAAGTTCAAAGTTTTTTCCTGTAACTTTAAACTCTTGTTTATCCTGTCAGACCATCAGCAACAATTGAAAAGATAGCTAGATGCTTCGTATTTATTTTCCGTACTCTTCCAAGGCAAAGCAAACCTAGATCTTACCTATTTGCCATAGCATTGCCTTTCCAATCTAAGTTTTTTCAGTTAATGTAACCTACAATTTTGTTTTGGATGATGGATTTATAGTCCACAAAGAAATTATTGGAAAAGCTGGATATTAGTTCATTCTAAAACTATTCATTCTGTGCAGACAGTGATATGAATCACAGGCAAGAAAAAGTTAGATATAAGAGGGAGAACTTTAAACACCAAATGCCACTTTATGGAAATTAGTAATATTTTCATTCAATATACCAAATATTATTGATCTCTTGTCACAATTTCATCATTGGTCAAAATATTCTAAATAACAAATAATACTCTCAAATAGGCTATATCCACTGACAAAAAATTGTCTGATTATAGTGCTAAGGCTATGAATTTTCTGATCATAAATGTTATGGCTACAAAGTATAAAAAATATCTTGTTACCAATTGATTCCTTTCACCTGCATAAGATGGAGAAGACGACCCCCAGCTGCTGTTTCACCATCATCTTCACAATCTTGTAAAAAAGTCTGCTTGTCTTCACAGTATATCCTTAAAATAATAACAATACTAGATTATAATGGAAATATGTGTCTCATTCTATATCATATTATATTTGCTTGCTTATCAACCTACTGCTTTTATAAAATTCTCTAAAATCCATGAATAATTTATTTAGAAAATTTATATTGCCACCTACTCACACATGGCAACTCAAGGTGAATTACAAGGGCATAAAAACACCGTAAAAAAGAAATAAAAAGAAAAATAATAAAGTAATAATCCCCACTTCCATAATCCATGAATAATCATGTGCAAATCATTGAGTCTGAACATACAGATCCAAGAAACAGAACATTAATTAGTGGATTTTTATCCTCTTCATTATTTTGTAGTAATTACTAGCAAACCTTAGCTACTCACCTGTAAGCATATATGTTGTGAGTAGCACTGGCTATTTTCTTATTTTTGTACAACTCAGCAAGAATATTTTTCACCTTGGAAGAAAAATAAAGTTTCAGACAATAATTAGGATTTCTGTACTTTACTTGGAAATCTTGCTAACTCCTTATTGATGCTTAAATCTTGTATATTTGAATACAAGTTAGTGCAACTTTGATTGAAGAATATAGAATGCATATTTTAGCCAACAAACTCTCTCTTAGAATAGATTGTACTTTCTAGCCGTTTTGAGAATCAGTCTTCACTGACAATTGGGGCAGAAACATATGCTTGAATTCTAACTTCCTTCCCTTCAACAGAAAAGAGATCACAGAATTGCTCCTTCAGGGAACTCTGCTTCCAAGATTTGGTAAATCCTTAGGAACAGATGATACAATAGACAACAGGGAAATAACAAATGCCCAGAAGTAACTTTTCTCCTTAACTGAACTGAGTAAGAATTTAGGATGCAAGGCATTTATTGTAATATTTAAAAAGCATTATGGATAAAATAAAGAAATCAAGCAGGCAAAAATTATAGAACAAAAAATTATGGAAAGAGATGTAAAAACAAGATATAAATTGACGGTGTTAATATTCATAGAAAATAGAGCAGCTTTCAGATTTCACATTAAATGGTAGAAATAATATTACCAATATTGTCATCAAAACAAATCAATTCTCAACAGATGGCACAAAAAACTACCCAATTGATAGAAACTCAAATGGTCCTTGAAGAAAAATATGAAACAGCAGTAATTAAATTAGCAGATTAATCAGTATGTGATCTTTGGTATTGAACATTCATACTTCAGCTTGTTGAGTTGCATCTAGATTTAGGCCTAAGTGTAAGAATGCACTTATACAAATCAGGAAATCCACTCTAAGTATGACTAACCCATTAGTGATACTTAAGTCGCTATATTCTGTAGTGCCTTTCTTCTAAGAAATCAAAATGCACAGGATTGAAATATTTTAACTTTCCTTGCATCCTGCCTAGTAAATTACAGAATCCAATGGGTTAGCTTATAGTAATAAATATGTCTTCCCTAACACATTTGTTTCAATTGTCTGCATTACAGTCACAAAAGATTTCAATAAATAATTAGGCTGTAATTTTTAAGTTGTCTTTCTCCTGTCTCCCTTCAAATATTGTAACAACTGTATTATTCTTATCAGAGAGATTACATTTCCCTATATAATAAAGTAAAGAAACTGTTTTCATAAACAATGTATAATTAATACCATTTTAAGCAAAACAATATTAAAACTCTGAGAGCTTGAGAAAACATGTCTGGCAAGCAAACAGCATTTAATTCAAAAGAGAAAAGTCATTCCTCTAGAGTTATCAAAATACATCTTCAATATTTATTTTTGTTGTGTTTCCATTATTTCAAAGCAAATATTCTTACTATGCCGGTGAGAAGAACACTGAAGCGTAGCTCATATTCCCTATATACAATATCTGTCTTCCTACACTTGATCTTAGTTAAAAGGCCAAGACAAGTGACCAAGGAGGACAATGTGGCTAAATAAACAGTGCAACAATTACTTAGTGGTTCATTTGTATATAACAAAAATGTTCCACAACACATGTAAAAAGGAATAAATTGGAACATCATGAGACACATGCATGAAGAAAAGCAGTGTATGAAAAACTTTGAGTGTAATGGAACTTATCCCAAAACAAATAGGCCTCGCAAGCGGGTAATCCATAGTCTTCCATATATTGGTGAAGTCCAATCAACAAAAACCTTAATTGCTGTAGTTCTGGATAATGGACACTGGGGTCCAACAACCTAAGAACTGGGGACCACCCATTTCTAATCAATATGAGCTTTGTACGTATATTTTATCTGCCCATCCATGATGTTCTCTGATCTATGTGACTGTTGCATAACCTTAAGTGAGATGTTATGTGATCCTATAGTCACAGACATGATAGTAGAGGTAGATAAACTGGCATTGTCAAAATCTCTGAACAACAACTTGCAACACTGCCTATTAATATAGTTGCTTCTACCCAATTACCTACCTGTCATGGCTAATGCATTTTTGTATATTTTGCTAATATAAGGACCTGAGACAAGACATTTACAATAATTATAACTGTTTTTAATTAAAATTATATCCTGCCTTTCTGTTTAAAACATTTCTGAATATCTAATGATAAAGATGACAATTGTAATTAAAACATTGGTGGGGGTTTTTGCATAAAAACACACCAGGAAAAGAAAATTATGACTCACCAAATAACAGTTTATTTACCATAAACTAACTTAGATACCAACAGATAATGATGCAGTCCAGATATCAGACCAGCACTAAAAATAATGCTATTATTATAGAATAAACAAAAATTGCTTAATATTAAAGAGTGATTACTGTAATTCAAATGCAACCCAGATGTTAGTTAGAAGTTGATTTTCCCTAGATTTAGTGTGGATGCTACACTCGTGCAGCCAAGATGAGTTTTGTAGAAAAAGCAGCTAGAAAGTCATGTTGTTTGTGAGCTTTCTCAAAATAATATTCTCTAATTAGCAGGTAGTGCCTAATGTCATCTTATACACTAACCATTTGAAAAGAAGTTCTATCTGAATTGGTGGACACTAAAGTAGATGTTATACTTTGCCTTCATGAATACTTTGCCACATGTCTCCCATAGCATTCAAAATTCTTTATTCTTTTTCCTTCATTCAGTCCTGTTATCCTGCCCATTCCATGGCCTGGTATTTTTTATAAGACAATAAAAGTTTCTAACTGGTTTCCTTTGCTTGTCCATGAGTTAATCCTGGAATTTAATATTTGTTTCAGTAATATTAAGCCTCTTAATATCCCAGACAATTATTTTCTATTCTCTCATTTCTTATCTGTCATTCTTGTCTATGAATGTCTTAGAATGATTTCAGCCTTCTCTAGCCTCATTCTAATCTTCTTTCAGCCTATATCAAATATTTCATTCATTTTCTATTCACGTATTAATGGGCCTGTCCATAAAGAAGTGGTATAGTATAAATTGCCAGAGAGTAAGCTAAATTTATAATGCACTGAGATATCCTTTCTTGATTACACATTTTCCACACATTTGCATAGGTTACAAGCAAAATGCCCAAGTCTATTTTCACTTCCAGTTGTTCATCAGTCAACATAATGCATTGATATAGTATTTTTCTGCAGCAACATGACCGTTTCCAATCCACATAATCAAAAATCCTTCTTCACAACTTACCCATAAGATCACTCAACCTGAGACAAACAGGTACATACTACTGTTTACAGACATTAGAGCCAAAAAATAAAATCAGAATCTCCACCGTATATAAAGTTCTAGATGAATCAATTACTGAATGGGATAATGAGGTCTGCAGACTCAGAAAGTTATCAAGCAGTTATTTGATGTTCTTTCAATTAATTTATAGATATGAATACGCTGAACCCAAAGGTATAACCTATTGAGTAACAAACCGATATGATTGGTTGAAAGCAGGCTTTACTAACCTGTTTGAGGCACACAACAGGTGCTAAATGTGCCTGAAATGTGCTTCTTCGGTCTGTAATTGGGTTCCCATGATAGATTGGAGGTAACTCTTCATCTGAAAATTGAAAAATTCAGATTTTGTGCCAGGATGGCTTACTGAACTTTTTCTACCTATTTCAAATAGAATTTCTGAAATATTTTCTTCACAAATATTATCTCTGGGCTCTTTAAATATTAACAACAAACAATGATTTCTAGTCATGTTCATCAATCTTTAAAATTTTCCTTTTCTATACTTATTGCTTTCAAGACTTTAATCCTGTTTTTCAGCCAAATGCCAAGCACGGGTTGTCTCAAACTAGGAAACAAGATAGAAGAATGCAAAGAGACAGACTGTAATTCACATTTAGCTCATATAATCTAATCACCAGTATTTCTCTGTACTGTTTACAAAAAAATTAAGATAACTAGGTTAAGGAACTAAGATTCCTCCATCTTAGAATTCTGTTATTTGTTCCTTTCTCATTTTAACTGGAACCCTAAATTTTAGAAACTGACATATTTGCTTAGAACCCATGCATCATGAAGTATCTCCTAGAAATCAAAGGACTACATAGTCTTAACAAATATCTGAGATATGGAAACATAAGCAACCGTATATGTATACAGTATATGTATATGTATATGCATATGCATATGTATGTTGGAATCCTATGCAGATCCCGAAGCAGTATTTATTTCAACATTTTCCCCAATTCAGATATTCATATCTGACATAGGGACATAAGGAAGGGGGTCAGAGAAAACTGCACGGCCCTGTCACACCTTTGTACAATGGTAAAGCATATGTTTGACAAGTAGGAGGTCTATATCCATCCCATTATCGAAGAAGAAAAAAGCACTCTCATTACCTAATGCTCAAGGCAATCTGTGTTAATATTCCAAAACTAGATGAACCAGTGACTTGTCTCAATATAGAGCAACTTCTCTGTTGTTATGATCTCATTCTCTTCGCAGGGGCTTCGTGTAATCACATCCCTTCAGCTGCTTTCCCTCTTTATTTTTATATAAGCTTAAGTGAAATATAATGGGACAGCAATAGCTTTTACCTTTTTTTTCAGACAGATCAAAATTCAACATCATAGCTGTACAATCTGGAAGAGGTTGATATTCCAGTGCAAATTCTTCTTCATAATCCACATCTGTTTCTTCTGTAATTTTTTTATTATCTGGGCCTACTGGTAAAAAAAAATGATGCCAGTTAATACTTAACAGTATTTCAGTGGCAACAGCTCTAAAGAAATCAGTATTAAAATTCCACTTCCATGATATTTGCCAAATATATCTTTATTTAATTTTTATATTTAAAGATTTACAGGTGCTTGTAGTATTTTCCTGACCCTTATGTGTTTTCTATCAAACCTGAAATATGTAACGCTTCGTCTGCCTGCCTACCTGCCTGTCTGTCTATCTGTCTATCTATCCAATTCATAAAGCTTGCATATTTCACCTGCTCACTCTCTGAAACATAAAACTGCAATACCAACAATATGCACCTAAACGTGACCCGGTGTCAATATTAAAATGACTATGCAAATCACATATAGAAACTAAAATGCAGGTAAGTGGACGGGCAAGATAGCAAACATTTCAAAGTGAAAAAGTTTGGCCCATTTGCTATGCTGCCATAATGCCCCTCATATCGCTATATTTCATTTTGTCCATAAATACCTTCTACTTATCTTCAATTACAAGCCAATTTTCTGATATACAAAGAGGCCAAACAACACGTCACATATTACCCGATTCTGATGACTGGGATTTTTCTATCAAAACCTCGCGTATCTTCTCCACCCACAAATAAAGAATGCTTTCACCAAGGTTCTGTCTGAAACAAGCCAATTACAGATGATATATCAAGAAGCTCTTAATGTAAAAATAAGAACTGTGTGCGAAAAATCCTATATTTTAATATCACAGAATAAGGCCCCCCAAGGCACCTGGTAAATTGACCTCCTGTAAAATACCAATTTTTTTCTCTCTAAACTTTCTCCTAGATAGTCACTTTTATATACAGTAATGATCCAAATAGGGAACACCGATCAGCACCTATGTCATTCAACAGGGGCTTTCTCAAAATGAGTCTATTCAGATCTCTCAGCATGGGTTTAACTAGAACCTTTAGAATGCACAGTTGTGCTGCACCAAACAAAAGAGTTTCTAAAATGCCTCTTTATTACATGCCATTATTATCACCATGTAACTTTAAGAGGGCTTGCAAAAGCAATTTGGGGTAGGCAGTACTTTGTTGCAAGAATGTATGAAATTTAACTGAGGTGGGTTTTGATCGTGTAGATCTCTGGATCCCAAACATTATTCTTGAAGAAATTCTGATCATGAAAGAAAAGAGGCCCATTCTCCCTGTATAAAATCTAGGTATCTAAATGTTTTGGAGAGGTATCTGTTTTACTATACTTTCTGCATTGTACTGCCACCTCCTGGAATTATGAGTATTTAGATTTTTGAAAATACAAATACTGTATGTTTTTAAAGCTGTACATTAAAACAGGACAGAAATATATAGTACTTACACATAGATTACTTCTAGATGATTTGCCAGTTCTGCATACTCCTTTTGTAAAATCCAAGGAGCACTGGAACATAATGAACATGCCAGGTTCTATTGATAGCATTTTCTAAACCATATCCTATTTATGTACCATAAAAATTACAAGTTATTAATAAGTATAATTACAATATAATTATTAAATATGTACCCTTATTTTTTAAAACTTATATTGTATGGAATATAATTATTACAATAAACACGTATGCTCCCCAAGTCTAGATTCTACAGTGAATTGGAAAGCATCTATGTTTAAGTAATTAATTCTGAAATTCTGGGAGTTGGTCCACATGTCTTAAAGTTGCTGAACTTCAGAAACTATGACCTAAACTTTCAGTGTCCCATTAGCAGCTGCTTCCAGTCAGGTAATACCCCTCTACCAAAGGCTCTTCAGAAAAACATTGTTATAGCATGCTGGTAAAATGAAAGTAAGATGGGAGCCAACCTGACCATGGGAAGTATGCTATTTCAGGGAAAGGAAGTTATGACTGAGAAAGTCTGCTTTGGAGTTTCCACCACCTTCATGTCTCAAGGGGAAGGAACCTACAAGATTCCCCCCCTGGTCTAAATGTGTTAGATAGACAGAATTTATCTAGATCAGATAGTAGTAAATAAAAGTAATGAGAAGTTGATTATATTACCTACTCATTATTCAATATCCTGAATTACTGAATGACCTCTCCTTGCAATTTCAGACATACGTAAAATAGAAATGCCAATGCCTGAGTACCCCACTCTGGACTATGCAGGGCCAGTTGATTGATTGATGACAACTGATTAGGACTACCCACTCAGTAAACAAAAGAACCATACATCAAAATGTCTCCAATCCTCAACACTGACAAGCAACCCCCAAAATACCATGGCTGATGGTATTTAATGTCACTGAAAACTTAAGAAGAGGATACACATCCTCCATCTAAATCTTGCCAGCAATCATCTACTAGAGTAATCAATACCATTTCTAGACTGAAATTAATCCAGATAATTATATCATAAGGGGAGTCACATAACTTCTGTTTCTCTTCTCAAGAAATCTAGTAATCAATCTGATAATCCTGATAATGAGACATTGGGGATATGGGTGCACATCTTTTTGGTTGATGTCTGCACTTTCAAATGTTCCCTCTCTGAGAGGTGTGAGGTGCCCATTGTATTTTTTGAACAATTGTTGCAGATCTTTCTCTTTATTCAGGCATTTTCTATATCAGTTCTACATAACTGCATCCTTTTTCTCCCAACTCTTTAAAAAATATGAATTTCTTTATTCATTCATTGTATTCCTGTTTATATCATATATTCACAACCTATAGACTGGCCAGCAAAGTTTAACAACAGAACCAACAAATAATACAGCCCAAAATAAAAGGAGTACAAAATAAAACAGAAACATATTATTGAAAATTGAAAGCAAAACAAAATAGCTATTATAAAAGAAAAGGCTCAAACAGAAATTAAAGCTACATATTATCAGCTATTAGTATCTGGCAATAAAACAGAAGTGGCTGCTATGTAGGAAAGCTAAAAAATGAAAATATTTCAGTTTCTGTTACAGCATAACAAAATTATTTGGGGAGGGTTGTAGTAAGAGTTGCCTATTATTAAAATGATATTCTGTTCTGGAAAGCATGTACTTACTTAAGTTGATAAATAGGTGGTGCTGAAGTTGGATAGTCAGGAGGCAGAATCACCTGCAAGATTTTAATGGTTAACTAGTATCTTTTTAAAAAAAATATCTGGGAAAAATATCCATAAAATCAATTTGGAAATACTGTAACATTATAAAATTACACAAAAAGGTATAGTCTTAAACCAGGGGTGTCAAACTCGCATCATCACGGTGGTGTCATGTAACGTAACGTGACTTTTTTTGCCTTCGCAAAATCAGGTGTGGGCATGGCCAGTGTGTGATGCATCTGGCCCCCGGGCCACAAGTTTGACAGCTCTGTCTTAGACTATACAATCCTATACAATAAAGACAGTACGATTTGTTTTTCTATAAATAGATCTGAGTGTTCAACTTTTTTAATATCAACAAGATGGTGCTCCAGTAGGATAAAGAACATTTAATTCTCCCCCTTCCCAATTCTCTGGAGAACTGTATGCACTACTAGTAATTTTTAAAGGAAACAATTATATCCAACACTAAAACTGTTTTAGAGAAAGAAAAAGAAAAACCTACAAAGAAAAACCCTATACTCTGATGAGATCTACTTTTAAACTATAGTCCCAATTATATAACTATAAACTTACCTGCAAATTGAGAGTCCACTTTGGCTGTGCTGAGCAATCACTAATTTTAATGCAAAAAATTTTCTCATCTTCATCAACAGTGCACCATTCATCACCATAAATAGCTGACAGAGCTTCAATTTCTTCGGTCTGCAAAATTATGTTATATATAATTAGTTTACGTTATTTTACTTTGAACCATTTTTTTCTCTTTCTGTTCAATCGTGTCCAATTCTTTAAGACAAATCCCTGCAGTTTTCTTGGCAAGTTTTTTCAGAAATGGTTTGCAATTATAGCTGAAAGAGAATGGAAATAAGTTTCTCTCTAGAAACTTGGAGGTGTTTGCAGTGGAAGAGTGAAAAGATAATGCTCAGATATATAATTAGTTTTTATTAGAGATATAAAAAAGCTCCCAACATAAAGATCAGCTACAACAGAATCAGCTACAACAGAATCTAGCAATTCAGTCACTTCAAACTTTAAATATTTGATATTATCACTAGTTTCAAATACTGGGTAAGAATATGCACATTTTAACAAACATTGGTTTTCTTTTACTTCCTGTTGTGTATGGTTTTTGTACGTTGCAGCACAAAGTATCATCTATTTCTGTTTTTTGAAGTGCAACCACATTTTTATTATATTAAGCTGTGGTGACACAGTGATTAGAATGCAGTATTGCAGGCTACTTCTACTGATTGCTGGCTGCCAGCAGTTTGGCAGTTTGATTTTCACCAGCTCAAGATTGACTCAGCCTTCCATTCTTCTGAGATCAGTAAAATGAGGACCCAGATTGTTGGGAACAATATGCTGACTCTGTAAACCACTTAGAGAGGAATGTAAAGCACTGTGAAGCGGAATATAAGTCTAAGTGCTATTGCTACGTTATGCTGAGTGGAGAAAGCCCATAGAAACTGTGTGTGTATGAAAAAGAGAATCAGCTGCCTTGACCTAACATGTCAGTAGGAAAGATATAGTTGAGGAAATCAAATTTATAGGAACACTGGGGAAATAAATTATTAATACTTTCTAATTTTAAGGAAATAAAAGCTGCATGAAGTAAACATGTTCCTTGAACTTCAAAAAGAGAAACCTGGAACAACAATACACACAATTCTATGAGGTGCTGGGTTTTAGTAGTCCCACTCTCCCGCTTTTCTTGACATTTCAAGCTTGCCAAAGAATGGAGGAATATGATGGATTTTGAACACAGATTCTGAGCATTCCTTCAAAAAACTTCAGCTTCTCAAACCTATATGCTTGCTGGAATCCATTGCACCTAAAGCTTGCCGTATACCTGTTTGGAGGTTTTGATACTTTCTAAAGTTGCTTGGACTTGTAAAATTTACATGCTTTGATGGTTGCAACCTTCTGTCTTGACATTAATAATAAAGCAGGAGAGGTAGTAAACATTTCTCAAAACTTGAATCGTCTTTGCATTTCTTTACTGATTTGTGAATAATTTTCTTCTGGGCAGTGATCTTCACAAAAGGAGAGAGCAGTCAAGTCACAGAGTTTTACCAATCGCTCTACACCATTCAGCCACAAGTCGAAACAGAGGGAATAAATGCACAATAGGGATCAATAACAGTAAATTCTGTGATGGGATGAACTTCTGCCAAGGGATGGACAAAGGGATAGTATTTTTTCTTGGGAAGAGAGTATAAGTTGGCAGCTTTATTCCTTCAATATAGCCAGCATGTTAAGAAGAACTATTTCATAGAGGTTTTATTATCAAGGAGTAAGATGACATTACACTGTGGCCACCATACACTGTTTTATTATTACCATTTGCTATTGGTTTATTTGATTTGATGGAATAGTGTAAACCATCTGCAGCAAGTAATATATAAATACAGTATAATAACTCATATAGGAAAGAATTGCTGGAGCAGAACAGGCACATTACCCACTGGATACGATTTTTTTTTTCTTCATGAAACATTTATACAGTGTATCCACGTATTTAGGTCATCAATTTCTCCACAAGCAGATTATTAGACGACGCTCAAAGAATTCACCAGTTAATAAGCTAATAATACATAATAATACATATAATAATGTATGTGGGTATATGCATAATTTTTATTTGTTAATATTTTTGTCATGTTTATGTAGTTTATTGGAGGTGGTGACCTTTAAGAGCTGTATGCAACGAAATTTCATTTTAATGTATGCTGATTAGTGTACATTTAAAGTGACAATAAAGTTATTCTAAACCTAAGTCTAAGATGACAGATTCCACCCATTCAACAGATTGCCTATGTTTAATTAAAAAACCATTAACAATGATATAGCTAAATAGAACTTCCATGTTCAAAGGCAGTGTTCCTCAGAGAACGGGCAGCAAGCGCCTATTGCTTCAACTCCCCACTTACGACCTTCCTTGAATGATTCTGTCTGATCCCTGCGTGGCCACCTGATCGCCGGATGTTTCTAATGTGGGAAATAATCCCAAATCTGATCGTCCACTTTGTCATCTTCGCAGAACCAAACTCGTCGCCTCTTGGCTGAAACCGAACCATCAACACCGCTTTCCTATCACATGGAGCCGAGTATTGCTTACTTGTTTTTGCATTGTTTCCTGGTCGCTCGCCGCCGCCGCCATTCCTCCGACGAAAGGAGGATCTCATGGTTCTACGGAACTCCACAGACCCTTTGAAGGGAAGGCCGGACGAGTTGTTTCTGCACTCCACGCACGCGCAGTGGTGCGATTGAAGCTCTTCGCCTCCTCCTGCATTTCAACTGAGGAAACCCGCGGAGAGCAGAGCAGGGCTGCGCTGAGCGCGGCCGGGAAACTTCCGATACGCTTTGCGGGTCGTCGGGCTTGGGGCGGATGATTGTGAGAAAGGGACTGCGTTCGTAAACCGAGGTCGGCTAGTTGGTGGTACAAAGTGGGTTGCTTGGTTGCCGGTGTTGGGTTTTTAAACCCACATCTAGGGTTTCTAGGTCTATCTGGGTTTCCAGGTTTTTATTTAAAAATCTATTTTTCTATACATTACATTATATTGTATGTATCAAATAAGTATAACGTAGTTTAAAACTGATTTATGGGAGGGGGTTATGTAGTATTTGAGTTTATTTGAATACCAATTCTTGCCTTTTTTAGAAAAAAACCCTGGCAGCCCTGGTGGGATCCATGCTTCAATTAATAGGGATGAGGTGAGGTGTGATTTAAATGTAGTTTTCTGAGCAAGAATATGGACGTGAGTTTGCAATTGGCTTGAGTAAGAAGGAAATATAACGGGAACACAAAATGCCAAAAGGGAACAAAAAAATGCGAAAAGGAGAGGTGATACTTTTCTGCAATCGGTTATGGAAACCTTTCTACAAAAGAAAAAAACAATTGCAAAGAACTTTTAAGTCAGCATAGAATAATAGACCAAACCGCAAGGAAAGAATTTAATAAATTGATGTAACTTGGTTCTAAACTTATGCTTCTTTAAAACTTTTTTTTCCATAAAAAGTTTTATTTCAATCTGCATATGCACAACAATACATTAATAGTGTGGCATCAATATATCATACATTTTAGTATAGGCAAAATTAATATTAATCATATATCTTAATGCATATATTTCACATTAATTCATAATCCTTCAATGCTTATTTTCAACCTTTCAAAACTCTCCAAATGCCTACCATCATATCAGTTAAACGTACCTAGTAATTCCATTATTCAATTTTCTCCCTGCTTTTATTTTATTTTTTAAAATAAAAAATTCTCATTTGGCAAGCAGTGTGATTCCAGGTTTCACATCTCAATACAAACATGACCACAGTTACCTGTTCATTATATTTGTTTAGTTTCATATTGCATCATCCTTATTATTGTTAAATATTAAGCTTATCTTATCCAATTCCAATTCATGTTATATTAATACATTCTCATGTCTTATTTTACAATGTTATCTAAAATTCTCATCTAATTTCTGTTATCATTTCTCATATTACTTTTTTCTGACACATTTGTCATTTTATCAATCCTTATCTGTCAATATAATTGTCCCCTCTGGTTAATCATTCGAGCTAACCACCTTCATTCTACCTTAATATCAATCTCCCTATCTAGTATATAACACAAATATATCTGTTTTTCTCAGATTGTGCATTATATTTTCTCAAACACATTATGAATCATCTATACATTACAAAATACTATTTTCAATATATTCTTTTTTTTTTTTTAAAACAAGTTTTATTAATTTTTAAAACACACAAATTATCATTATTCATTACATGTTTAAACCTTTTTCCATTGTAAATTTAACAAGTCAGATAAATTATGATTCTGTTTTAAACCATTTCCATATAATATACCAAAACCTCTTATTCAATTTCTCTTTACTTCTCTTTACTCTTATTCAATATCATTATTATTATTTCATCTGATTCTTTCTGACTTAGTTACCATTATTCTCATTCTATATTTCTACAAGTTTTTACCAATTCTCCCCCCAAAAAAGACATATACACACAACACACAAAACATAAAAAAAAATCTTTTTGGAAAGTAACTTGGACCCAGGTGTCTCTCTCTTCATGGACTTCAATTATATTCATACTCATCTTACATATCATTACTTATTTTGTTTACCATTCTAAGCCTTCTATATTAACTTCTCCACATATTTCACACTTCTTAATTCTACCTTAATTAATCATCTTAGTTTAAATCATTATATTTGTATCTTTTGTCCATTTTTTATCATCCCTTTGTCTCATCCCTTATGAAAAAAAAGAAAATCAGTTTCTCCTGAAATTATTAATCAGAGTATGATGCCTTTCTATCTCCCCCCTAAGTTAATCAAATTAATCTTTAAAATAATATCTAATACCCAATCAGATTTTGCTTGGTACATTCTATCTAACTAATACATCCAACACAATTAAGTGCATAATTAGAGAATAAATCCAAATATTAAAAAGAAATGCTATAATAAAAATTTTATAATAACATCAATACCATAATTTTATTAAACTCTTTAATTAAAACAATATTCTAAACCTCTCCTATTATTAAGTTTTAAAACCAATCATTTTTAAACATTTTAACATTTTAATCTCTTATCAACTCTTAAACCATTGCAATACTACCATCTCATCTTATGTACCTTGCAAAATCTTTTTTTTTTTAAAAAAAATTATACTTTATCCATTATCCATAAAAAATTCCTTTTTTCCATTTAATTTCAAAACATTGTAGCTTTTCTCCACCTTTTCCCTTTCTTTCTTTTCCCAACAAACCTTTCTACCCCCCCTTCTTCTAGCCTCTGCCTTACCGGCTTCCCTTCTCTGTCGTATTTCTTTTCCCCTTTGTTTACAATCATCATATTGGTTTTGCACTTTATTTTTCCCTTTCTTAAATGTGTTTTTAGATCTTAAGTCCTTAAATCCTTTAGTTTTCTTCTTTTCTCTTCTTTTCTTTTCTTTCTCTCTTCCTTTTTTCTGGATCAAATTCTGAAATTCATTAAAGATGGCTCCTTCCTTTCTTTCTTGTTCCTCTGCTGTCTTCATCTGTTGTAATTTTTGTTGATAATTAATAAGCGCCATTTCTAAGAAAAGGAAAGCTTCTTCCACACCATTTCTTAGTTCCTCAACAGAAAGAGCCATTATAAATCTTTTCTTTTCTTTTCTCCTTCTTTCTTCTTACAACAACCAGAATATTCAAAAGAAAATAAAAAAGATAAAACAGTCCCAAAGTTATCAATCAGTCCAAACCAAGGCAGAGTTCTCACTTTCTCCTTCTGGGGTAATATCAATCAAAGAGAAAGAAAGTCCAAATCTGTTTAAAATCTTATTACAATATATTCTAGTCTTCAAATCCTTAAGGCATCTGCTCCAGCAAATCTTAGCATACAAATATTTTCTTTTTAATCCTCTCTCTTCCCACTCATCGCTTAGAACCAATTTCCACCTAAAAAAATAGGTTTCTTAATATCCAGTTATTTATTCCGTAGGAAAAGAGGGAAAGCTATCCTTTCAGCACCTTCAAGCAGCCGCTTTTTTCCTCTTCTGGCAGGTATTATTCAGAAAGTCATACTTTTCAGGAATTTTATTAGATATGTCTTAGAGTCCTAGGAGCCAAGAAAAACTTTCTCCTCTCAATCACTTTCTCCACTTCCTCCTGCGCATTCTTACCCGGCTGCCAGCTTCTTTGTGGCGGCCATTACAGACCGCCGCTGCACCGTCCTGGGAAAAGGGAGTTCTGCCGGCCAGGGAGGGAGTCTGCAGCACCCCCAAACCCTTCTCCGGATCCCCCCTACTTCAGCTGCCCCTGCAAGGCAGCCTAGCTCCGTACCCGGCTGGGTCGGAGCCCCAAAAACGGCTAGCGCGGCAGGGATCGCGCAGCTTCGCAAATCCCTGCCGCTCGCGAAGCCGACAAACCGGAAACCTCATATTTTCAATATATTCTTATACATCACAACATATTATCTTGCGGAATCTCCTTCGTTATCCTTTTTTTTTTCACCCATTATCTCTCACTCTTTGGACAATGTACTTTCTTTTCATCCTTGTTTGTTTCCTGTTCCTCTTTGTTTTCTGGTCCTTTCTCTTAATTCCCTTTTTTCCCATTCTTATTCCCCTCCATTTCTCATTCCAGTTATGAAACTTTTCTCTCTCCCTCCTATGATTTTTCTTTTGCCCTTCCTTTTTCTGCTTTTTCTCTCTCCCTTTATCCATTTTCCCAACCATTCTCCCTTTTATCATCCCATCAGACCACAAATTTTTAATTCTAATTCCACCCCCCCACCCACTTAAATAATTGTTGTTCGTTTTGTCCTTCAATGTTGGCTTCTTCTTTATAGAACTCCTCCCCCTCTGGTTTATTTTGTTCTTGTGTATGCTGAGTTACCATTTCTAATTTCTGTAGTACATAATTGCACATTTCAAGTTTAATTTTTATCATGTCCCTTATATCTTGCAAATCCAATCTTGACTCTTGTAAGTCCAATTTTATATCAACAAATAGTTTCTCCATTATATCTTCTTTTTTTCCCTTTCTTTCCTCTTCCTTAATAGTTAAAATCCTCTTCTTTAATAGATATATTCAATTCCAGAGTCCAATATATTATTTCAGCCAATATCTTTTGAATTTATGTTCAATGATCCATATTCTTGAGTACGGTAATTGTTTGGATTGTTCTATAACAATAATAAAGTTTCTTTTATTTTTAAGTTCCAAAACCCAAACTCTTGAGAAGACCAGACACTTTTTAAAACGTACTGAAGTTTTCCTGGCGCTCGAGTCTTTTTACCTTAACTCTCTCTGTTGAATATAATACTTTTATTAAGTTCGCTAATTTCAATCATTAGCTATTATTTCTTTTCAACACACTCAGTTTCAGCATTTAATTATGCCCTTTAAGTGCCCATAATTCAATAGTTATCCTCGACTCCGACGAGGAACAAACCAGAAGTCCTGCTTCTTTAAAACTTAAGTATGACAATTACTTATTCTTATTCTCAGGATAAATATTGACCCTCCACCCATTTACAGGCAGTGAAAATAGACCTAAATGAAAATGCAATACATGTTATAATAAAAACTTAAGATTTTTCCTATATCTCTATTTGTAATAATGGTTAAAGGAGAGACTCTTCCCCCATGGATTGGTTCAGAATACTGTCTATCTAGTAGTTGGTGAATATGAAGGTTGGGAAACTAAGCAGTTCAGAATAAGGGCCACTCTGAATTAGCAGAATATACTGGTTTCTTTCATGTTTTGTTTTTATTTCACATTTCAAGTTATTATTTTTACTTTCATTTAAAAAACGTATACCATCTTATATTTTTAAAAACAACTTATTTCACTGCAGTGTGGGGCAATTTTTTAAAATGTGTCAAGTAGGGAAAAATCTTTTTAAGTTATGCAATAAAATCAGAAGTAGCAAACCATGTATCTTTCTGCCTGCATGCACATGTCTGTACAAATAAATAACACCGAGGAGTCACATGTCTATGCAAATGAAAACAACTTTGCCTGATGATATAAAGCTTAAGTGATATTCTTGGCAATAATAAATGGTACAGGCACTTTCTCTATTGTTATATGCAACTAACCATATAATCAGATCTGATTGTAAGAATATAGAATCATTGATTGTAAATGTGTAGAAATTCAGTGATCTTTTCCATATGTTGTTGATAAATATTTGCCTTCAGTGTTTAAATTATATACATTAGTTCATACATACATGCCTGATAATGTAGTACCTGAATAAATGGCAATGGATCATAAGTGTACCTAAATATTACAGTGCATATGAAAATGCAGCTTCCATAATTTATTTTATTCACAGGGAAATATGTTTTTATTTTACTTTTCTTAGGTCTAGATGGTGGAATTAGTTATTCAGATATCGGAAATAATATCCAGGTATTTACCTGACTTTTGACATGAATCAATTATTTCCAAGTGGAAAGGGCTTGCTAAAATTTCAGAGACTTTTGAGAAGTATAGCATCTTACATGATAGACATGTATTCATCTTCCTGACACCTATCTTTTAGATATTCACAATCACACACTATTTTTCCACTGGTGGAATTGTTCTTCCAAAACTTTTAAAGAGCCTTATTTATTAATTTATCAAATTTAGGACCATTCATCTTACTCTCAGGGGAACATTTCCTGTCCTTATATTTCATCAAATTTAAAATACATTTATTATCTATGTTGAAATAGAACTCTTTCTTCAAAATCCATATACTTCACTGAACAAGGATCTACAGTTTTGCTCATGAGCACAACTGTACAAAATATTTATTTTGGATTAATGTAACTGTGTATGTTGCAAAAGCCAGCATAAATTTAGAAGAAACAATATAAGTAAGTTGTATTTGATTTTGGGTTAAGATAGGAAGTGAACATGAAAGACGTGAACCTTGCATTATCTGCCTGCAATACACAATTATTTTTATTCCAATATTTATAAAGACCTATGTTCAAAGCTGAAAATATAATCTTTTTAGTTCAGCCGTATGGAATCTTGCTCTTAAAAGTTGGTTGGACTGCACCTATCAACCAGTTATTCTGGCCAAATTATCAGGCATTGTGGAAATTGGAGTTTAACCAAAGGCTGCCATTATTTTAACTATTTCAGTTCAAATAATTTAGTTAAAACGTGTTTTAAAATCCTCTCTGAGTCGTTGATATAAATAATATAAATATAAATGCTATAACTCAAGCGATTGTTAAAAAAATAAATGCATTACTCTTTTATGCATCATTTTAATGTGCAAAAATTTGCATAGATAAATATGACTTTCATGAGATATGCTAGTTTATGCTTGAACAATTGTTTCTGACCTACTTTACAAGATTTCTGAGGAAAAATGAAAGTTAACTTTGTTTCAACATTCTGACATGTGATTCTATGACAAAGTTATTAGCAACCCTTTTTAATACATCCATGCTTCATCTGAGTCCTAGCCTTATCATGGAATTGTTGCAAAATTATCCCTCTGTAGTTAAGTCTCAATGTTTGGCAGATTGAATCTGATGCAGAAACTACACAGACCAGTTATGAACAAAGTTATGCAATCAAATTACCATTTATTTCTAACTGTAGCAGCAATTTGTCCTTCCCCAAACCTCTAAGAAAGACCCATTAAACATTTATTAATGGTGTTATCATTCATTGTTCCATTTTTAATACTGTTTTATTCTTTTCACTAAATTATCCCCATTTTTATTTGTGTTAGTGCACAAGAAAGTGATTTTTAGAGAAATGAAGGCATCATTTATATCCTTACATATAAACAAGCAATTTTCTATGCTATTTGTACCTCAGACATCTTGATCTTAAAGAGATTGGCAGAATGCATGTTATAAGTTAGACTGTAGGCAGTCCTCATCTTACGACCACAATTGAGACCAAAATTTTTGTTGCTAGGTGAAACATTTGCTAAGTTTACAACCTTTCTTTGCCACGGTTGTTCAATGAATCACCGCAGTTGTTAAACAGGTAACAAGATTGTTAAGTGAATCCAGTTTTCCCATTGACTTTGTCAGAAGGTCTTAAAAGGTGATCACCTGAGCCCCAGGACACTGCAACCGTCATAAACATGAGTCAGTTCCCAAGGGGCTGAATTTTTATCACATGACCATAGCGATGCTACAAGGGTGGTAACAGTGAAAAAGGGTCATACCTCATAAGTCACTTTTTTTTTTCAATATCTTCTGACCTCCAACGGTCATTAAGTGAAGTGTTGCAAGTCGAGGACCACTCAGTACTGAACTACCAAGGAACTTACTTAACCGAAAGTGGGCCGTTTCCTGCGAGAAAGTTGGTGGTCCCCACGTGAGAAATTGGGCAACAGGGGCGAATTGCCTTGCAGGGCTTCCCGCTAGGGGGAGCTGTGCCCTCGCCGTTTTCTCTCAGGGCTCTCTTCAGCGGCCGGGGAAGGAGGGGCTGGGAATCCTCCGGCGCACGAAGTCACGTGCAGCGGAGGGTAAATGATAAAAGCCCGGGAGGGGCGGCGGTGGGGACGGGTGCGCGAAAGGAGCGAGTCCTTGGTTGGCCCGGCAGAATCGGCCGCTGCCCGAAGCGGTGAGCGGGAAGCCTTACAATAACAGGACTGGGGGGCGGGGGGGGGGGGGGGGGCGAAGAGAGAAAAACCGACTAAGGCTGGGTAGGGAGTGTGGGGATATTTGCGCGCGCGGTGCCCCAAACGCCGCGAGCCTAGCGGGCCGGCTGGGCTGCGCCCCAAACATGGAGCGTTGCAAAAGGTTCGCGTTTGCAGCGGCGAGCGCTTCTTGCTGGAACGGGCTATTGGGGGGGGGGGGGGGGGGTTCCGTCTTGCTATTTGCCTAGGATATAGTTATTGGCTCTACTCCTTTCCCCCTTTCCACACCTGACAAGCGGGATAGCGCGTTGTCTTAGCGGCTTTGCATAAGCTAAGTGTTGGGGTCTCCAACCTTGGCAACTTTAAGACTTGTGGACTTCAACTCCCAGAATTCCTCAGCCAGCAAGTCCACAAGTCTTAAAGTTGCCAAGGTTGGAGACCCCTGAGCTAAGAGCCAGGCTTGACAGCGGTAATTTGCTTCCCAGCTTCCGATTGCGTGGACACCGACCCAGCGGCTTTTGTGGTGGGGGGGGAGGGGTCCTATGCGTGGGTGAAGGTAGCCTGACCGTTTTCCCCACACCTGAGAGCGTCTGCTGTTCTAATTTCTGGTTTAAACCACCACCAGCTGTTCGCTGGGGCCGGCTGCTTCGTGAAAACTTAGGGGCCCACAGTACAGTTAGTAAAGTTTAGCTTAAAATAACTTAGTTATCTTTCCCCCTCTCCTCCCCTTTTAGCTCAACTTCGAGCTCAAGACTTGTCGGTAGGTGGACTTTCCCCCTGCATCTGTGCTATTTGCTTCTGGATGTAGACGGGTCAAAGACCCGAATTCAGAAAATGCCATCTTAGAAAACCGTCTGTCTTTCATCTTCCCTACGAACACTGCATAAGCCGATGTAAGTGATACATCACAAATTCATTGACCTGTTTCAGGTTTGGAATAAAATGCGTTTTCGATTGTCTCTAGTTTCCTTCCCTGAAATTGCTTGAGATGGAATTCAATAATTTGACCTGCAAATTATTGTATTGATATAATTCACAGGATTAGGAGATGCCTTCTTTCCTGAGGGTGAAAGTATACTTGCTTGTCTGGTGCTAACATCAAAGCAGCATGAATTACAAGCTAATTGAATCCCCATCTATTTTGTATTGGTGCTAGATATCACAAGCAAAAGGTTTATGTGGACATGAACGGATTTCGGCAGAGCCACAATCTTGCAGCTTTAACTACTCAGCATAATCGTATTAGAGGACTCAGCATTTGCTGTGCTTATGCTCAGTATTTGCAAATAGAGAGTCGCCCTCTTTTTATATTCAGTGTTTCTTTATTGTAAAGGCTGCAGGATTTCATGGGATTAGACAAGTGATGAAACTTCTCACACTGACGGAAGATAAAGCTAGCAGCCCTGCTTTCAACATCCAAAATAATTCTCTTAACAATGGAATTCTGGGAGTTGAAGTCCATGTATCTTAAAGTTGCAAAGTTTGAGAAAAGCTGTCTTGCAACATACAGAAGCTGTTAGCTTTTAGCCAATTGCTTTTACCAGAAATTTGTTTTGTTTACAGCAGGGGGGGCATTACCACTCTTAACTTTCCCAGTTCCCTCTTTTGATAAACACTGTGGAAACATTACTATTGTAGTCATTTTCTATAGATGAAATACAGGATAACAGCAGAGACTGATTCTCCTGGGAGTGTAAGACCTGACAGTGTACTTTCAAGTCAAAAGTGAAAATTGAATTTGGAGGGTAAACAAAATTCTGCATCTTATAGGAGAGGTAGTATAAAGCAAAAGCTGTTTTGGATATGTCCAGACAAAATGTGTTACTTAAGAAATTAAGAGTAGGTACAATGTGAAGCAGACAAATGAATAACAATGAGATATTCATTATGCCACTAAGTTTATAAGTCATATTCCCAAACACTCACATTAAAGGCATAGTGATTTTCTTATATGTAAACATTGAAATAATATTATGTATTTTATTTTCTTCTGGCTATGTATTGACCATGGTTTTTCTTCCCACAGCATGAAAGCTGATGGGTTAAGAAATAAAATGTTTTTGCTTTTTTCCCCATTTCCTTTGGCTTACATTATCCTCAACAGTGCTGATTTGGGAGTTTACAAGTATGCCCCAAGGCATGTTTTGAAATAAAAGGAAATGTTTAATTATAGGTCTGAGAACAGAAAGTACAGGTTATAGAAGTCATTCAATTTCACTTGCTAATTCACATAAGAATTTTAATTCTCTGGAAATTCATAAACTTATTAACCTTTCCCCCCATTCTAAAACTACAGTAGCAAAAGATTAACATTTTAGCATAGAAAATATACAATAAAATTACAATAGATTTTAAGCATTTGGAAAGACAATGACATCATCTGCTGGCATACTAGTTAATTGACAGACCATCCCAGCTCTGCCAAAGACACAGGGTTTTAATGTTTTGCAATTATAACAAGCTAAATGTTTGATGTTTTCTGATGGGTTTCCTATTAAATGCTGCTTATTGTGATACATACAATAGTTTGCATTTGCAATGAGAAGTAAAACAGGTCCTTTCCCCCTGGCTGAAGATATTTTGCTGAAATGTAAGATTTTGCTTTATCAATAACAGCAGAGAGGTGCTGATTTGCTATCTTCCTTATCACAATGTTAGCTGGACCTGGGCTCATGCCTTGGTTGAGTCATAGTCGTTTCTCATCATTGCCACTGGCACTCTTAAGTTTCTGCCATTTCATACCCCAGAGCTCCTTGCCCACATCCCCCTTCCCCAGATCAGTGTACAGGCCTCTTGTGGGCAATAATTGCCAAATGGTCTTATCTCTGAATCCCAGAGCTTGATGGAGCGAATATTGGAATTGCCCACCATGTTGCTAGTAGGAAAACCCATGTGCTATGGCTGGATTCATACAATATTTGGCCTTTAGCTAAATCTTAACAAGTATAAGTGGCTGTGGGGTTTTGGATGCCCGATTCTGGGGATTTTCTACTTTTTATCCAATATAGGTTACACTGCTCTGTGTAGAATTGAAGTGCAATTTGGGGGACCCCTTGGGTTAGGGTCTCTCTGGAATTGCAGATGACAGTCATAGTCCTACTATTGAAAATTATCCAGAAATCAGAATTGGTTCAGAAGTAATTATGGGCATACCTTGGTATTCACAGGCTGCCCTGTATCCTAATAGATATCTAGATGTAATTTATGAAGCTGAATTGTCACCTGTGAAACCTTTTATGGCACTTCTTTGTTCTCACCTAACTGGTGAGAATTCATGAACTCTGAATTCATGCCATGTTGTTCTCTAAAAATGTTTAAAAGACTAAAAAAGAACTATCATGTGTTTTTTATATTGATTTGCGATCAATATCATTAGCTTGCCAGTTCCATGTCAGACTCTATAGAATTTGGATTAGCCTTTGGTAATTCAGATTAAAATTTCTGAATTGCCGATAAATTGCTTTTTATTAGCAGTGTTCTAGGAAAAACATTTGGCTATAAATCCTAATACAACTCATAAGAAGTCTCTGAGCCTTTTCTCATGACCAGTATTACTCTCAGATACTCTTACATGTTACCCAAAAGATTAGATCTGTTGAATGAGAAGCTAATTAAAATGTGTGATACCACTAACATAATTGTTTAAAATTAATATTAGATATCTGATGAGCAGCATTCACAACAACAGGTTAGATTATCCTGTATTCATAATATAACAAAAAGCATTTAAAAAACTTGTGAATTCTAGAATAGTACTTATGGAAGTAAACAGGAACCTAATTTTATGAACCTGCTGGTATCTGTTTATTTCGATCCCAGTTTGTTATCTGTAAGAAATTATTCTTTGGGTCATAATTTTTGGTTAATTCCAGTCTACAAAAACTAAAATAGTAGTTTTCTATGCCAAGTGAAGATTATTTTCTATGCCAAGTGAAGACTACCAAGTTTGGGCTGAGTTTTCATAGCCTTCCTATTTTAGTTCATGTTGTCTTTTAGACTAACTGATGTTTTAATTATTAGGTATGCTCTTTCTATATTTGAAGTTTTAATTATTCTGGAGGTTTTTTTGTAATTCTTAACAGCCTTGAACAACATTTGGGATATTAGACATCTGAGAGATTAAATAAAGCAATATTTGTGTTTTAGTGAAGATGAACACAGAAGCAGAGCAGCAGCTTCTGCAGGATGCTAGAAATGGTAAAAGTGAAGAAATTCGACAGCTGTTGGAGAACATGAAAAAAGGAGAGATTATTTTTGATATAAATTGCAAAGGTTGGTATAAACTACCTTACAAGGTTACCTGGAATAAGTAGAAGTGCTAAGGCTAGGGAGTGGGCGGTTATGTATGTTTTGTACTTTTGGAAAAAGAAGCCTACTATAATATCCTATTACTTATTGAAAGTAAAACAATTTTACAAGTCTTTAGCCAATCTAAATCTGAATGTTGCAGGCCATTCCTGTGCCTGTTTTAGAGTTGCCAGATATCTAGTGCAGATACTCTTCACTTAACAACTGTAATAAGTATCAACAACACTTAGTAGCCAGTTGAAGTTATAACAGACTTCCCTACTTATGATCTGGTTTTGAAGTGATGACTGCTGCAGCAGCCCTCTAGTCATTCATCCTAACAACTGACTGCAGGGATGCTATAGTGATCCTCCTGCCTCTTTCCACCCCCAATCCTAACTCACCAATTCCCCACGAGCATGTTGGGAAAGAGGGCATGTCACTCATCCCTGGGCTACATGGCCATCTCCTTGAAGCAGTTTCCATTTTCAACATGCCCACAATTCCTTACAATCATGCCATAATAGCAGCTACTTCCAGGAGGCTGCCCTGTGGCCCAGGGACAGACCACTTCAACATGGAAAGCTCCAGAAGCTCTGGATCTTCAAAAGGCAATGGGTGATGAGGTTGGAGTGGGAAGGAGATCCAAATCAGGGTGAAACATCTATGGGGACCTGGTGGGGGGAAGCAGGTCCAAGGGCTGTGGACACCCCCAAGGGACAGGAAGCAGACCACGGGTATCTCAAGTAGAAGCGGCCTGGGATAGGCGGGTCTGGGCCAAGGATAGGACTCCCTCCTCTGTGGCATCCCATGCTCCACTAAACAGCCTTCATTTAATGACTGCATCACGGAGAACAAAGGTCATTAAGTAAGGCTGTCTCACTTAACTGGCATCACCTCTTGCTACTGTAATGGGTTGGCTCCCATTACAGTTGTACGCCAAGAACATAATACGTAATTGGCTTTTCTTGGCTTTCCAAATGCACTAAGTCTTAGCTTCCTTAATTCCTTGTCATCGTGGCCAGTGAAAGATATATTATTACAACACATTTGAGGCATGTTCATTTTTCATACATAGGTGTAATTAAGTATAAAGGTTCCCTTTATCCAAAGTCCTTCAATTTAAGAATGGATGGAAGAGCATCTGATTTCTAGAACTGGTGTATATCAAAGGGAAAGTAAGAAGAGCTCTACTGAATCAGGTCTTGAAGGCCATATAATTTAGTATTCTGTTTAACGCTGCAGTGAACCAGATGCATTCAGGGAGCATACAGGCATGAGTAGGAGAGCCCAGGTAGTCCTCGACTTTCAAGCACAATTGGGATTGGAATTTCTGTAATTAGTATGGTTGTAGAGCGAGTCATCACAAGACTAGGCTGATTTTTATAACCATTTTACTGTGGTCGCTAAGTGAGTCACAGGATCATTAAGCAAATCCACCTTTCCCAATTGACAGTTTTTTTTTTTGAAACTGGAAAGGTGACCTAATTGTGATCACATGGCTCCAGGATGCTGCAACAAGTCATTAACATGGAGTCAGTTGCCAAGCCCCTGAATTGTGATCAAGTGACCATAGGGAGTAATGCGATGTTCCTAAGTGTGAGGATAGGTCATAAATACATTTTCCCAAGGCCATCATAACTTTGAACTGTTGTTAAATGAACGGTCATGTGTCGACTACCTATGTAGCCTTCTGCTGCTGCTTACTGAAAGCTTTTATTTAAGACTTGTCACTTTTAATTTAGATTATACAATCTAAATCTGTAGCCAATCAGATTGGCAGATAGTGATAGCCAGATTGGTCATATTTTTGTCCAATCACTTTGAAATTAATTTAAATTAGAGACTACCACCACATCTGATGGAAGTACAGTTTTAACTATGAAAAGAATACTTCCCTTATATTTCTAAAATTTACTTCCAAATATTTCTTGCTTCAGTTTTACTCTCACCACATTGTGAGGCTGGTTGGTTATTATTTCCTTTTAATCCGGTATTCCAGTTAATAATTATATCACAATACTCAATTCTAATCTACCCAGATTATTGATTTTATCTTAGACTGAACAGTACAGACAGCAATTTGTCTGCGTGAATCTATTTAATGTTTTGCTATTGTTATCTCCTAATGTCTGGTTATTGCCTAATTTTGAAACAATTACCATAAAAAATCCTTTCAATTTCCTTTTGGTTTTCAGGTTCTGAATAATATTTTGTTGTAAATTTTGACTTCACTGCCAGTTTTGCATCCTGTTTGTGAAACTGCATGTAAACAGTAATATCCAAATCCTGCTGGCATATTGTTAAAAAGGGTGATCTAATAAGGGTTTTTTTACTTGTGTGTACCCAGGAAGAAGCAAATCTAACTTCGGCTGGACACCTCTTCATCTTGCATGCTATTTTGGACATACCAATGTTGTCAAGGATTTGTTGGAGGTAGAACAGCTTATTATCTCCAATAATTAATATCTACATGCAATAAAAATAGAAATGGAGATGTGACAGATTTGATTAGATATCAAGTACCTTGAATGGATAACCAAAACCTAGATTTTTTTTTAAGAGAAACAATTTGGAAAGTTAATATTCCCCAAAGCACAATCATGTAATGAAGAAATTTGGGTGGGGTGCTTGAAGGTTCACCCCACTACCAATTTAACATCTGCCTTAAGAAAGGATTTCCAAAGAGGGTTGATCTACCAATAATCCTTGATTTATGACCAGTTGCTTAGCGACAGTCACAGTTATAACCGACCTAAAAAGGGGGCTTATGACCTGGTTTTGAAATACTGACAGTCAGGACCCCTCTGTGGTCACATGACCAAACTTTGGGCATTTGTAGCTGTTTGCAGCATCCCACAGCCAAATGACCACATTTTATGACAGTATTGCCATTTCCAGTTTTCAGCAAAATCACATTCAAACCGAACTATTGGTTGGTTTAACAATCATGCTGTTTGTTTAAGGACCATGGTGATTCACTGAATCACTGGTGCAAAAAGGTTCATAAAATCGGGTTAGTCTCATGAACAATAGCAATAGCATTTAGATTTATGTACTTTCCCATAGTACTTTACAGCACCTTCTGGGTGGTTTACAGAGTCAGCATATTGTCCTCAACAATCTGGGTTCCCATTTTACTGATCTCTGAAGGATGGAAGGCTGAGTCAACCTCGAGGCCCGTCAGGATCGAACTCTAAGCTGTGGGCAGAATTCGCCTGCAATACTGCATTCTAATTACTGCACCACCAGGGCTTCCGCAACCTATTTTACGACCATTACAATATACAAAGGTAACGGGCAGGCCCCATAATGATCATATATCAAGGACTACCTGTATCATATCACTAAAAGCCAGATTTTTATTGATCACTACCTTGAATGACAGACCTCCTGAAAAACAATCTCTCTTAATAGGCTGGTGCTGATGTAAATGTGCTAAATGATATGGGGGATACTCCACTGCATCGTGCATCCTTCACAGGACGCAAGGTAAAAGGAATGAGTTCATTCTCACATATGTAGCTAAAATTCAGAATTCTGCTATTCCTTGAGGCTTTCTTGTTTATTGGATGCTTCATTCACCAACTTTCTGCTTCAAACCTAGCAAGTAGCACTTAGAAGTGAGTATGTGGCTTCGTTCACACAGATTCAAATTATGGAGTCATTAATTGGGTTTGTTAAATAAAAAAAACAAGTGTGGATTTATATACACTGCTAAGTGGAAGCAAACTCTATTGCTGCTTAGCATGATGTGTGAACCCAACCTCTTCTAAATTGCTAATGGTCTTCATTCTTTGAAAAAAAAATATGTGAAGCAAGATGAAAGCAGATAGTGAGTCCTACCCTTGTCTTTCAGGAGGTGGTTATGCTGCTTTTAGAATGTGATGCTGATACTCTCATTGTGAACGGCAGTGGACAAACTGCAAAAGAAGTTACCCATGACAAAGAAATACGAGAGATGCTGGAAGGTATCCATTCTGTATAATGTATGAATTTGAGATAATTGGAACTAAAATTCTAGTAGAACTCTTTAAAGCTATTTCACTCAGTCTCATTCAGTACAAAAGGAGATTTTTTGAGCTAATAATTGGGTAAGAAGACTGAGGACTGGTTACTCAAAGGCAATTGGAAACTGAGTTTGCTTTGTATTATCATGTGTGGCACAATCTTGTCCCTTTTAGCACCAAAATATAAATTCAGGTAAACATCTACATACTAGCCACTCAGTGCTCATTTCTACTTTCTTTCATGCTTCCATGTGATTGTGATTAAAAGCTAATATCCGTTGGCAACATGATCTAAGATTAGATTATTACTGTCAGAATGTATGAAAGTACAGAGATTCTTTGATCTGTAATTACTTTAAAAATCCTCCAGCCTTTATTGTATGATGTACAAGGAACAAAATGTAAGCATAATAGTAAATACAATATGTTCTATATATATGGCATATTTACTCAGATCCTTTACATTAGTAAGGAAAGGGATTTGTTGGTTTACTGTTGCAATAATGTAAGTGAATCCATGGATACCATGGATGTAAAGAAAACTGAAGCTGTTCGGCTTGTTACACAAGTTAGTTTTACATATCTAAAAGGAAGCTTTTCCATCAGCTGACAAATCCTGGATTGTCAGATTTCCTGGTGGCTGAAAGCTCTGACTTCACAGGGAAGGTTTGAAGAGTTAGAAATGTACAAAAGGAAAAGCAAACTCTATCTCTGAACCGTGGGTTTAGCTTCAGGCTAAGACTGAGTAAGTGACCATGGGCATCAAATTTGGGGATGCCAAGACTGCCTTCCTTCCAAATCATTCTAAAGTTGGTGCTCTTTGAGCCTAGTTGTTGACTTGAGACATTTCATTACCCAACTAGGTAACATCCATGTGATTGTAGGCTTTTCTTCCTGTTTATATACATTAGTGTAACTTAACTTCTTACGGGAGTGCGGTTTTTTAAAAACCACAAGACTTTGTATTGGCAGGAGGGGGTGCATAAATGAATGTGACTTAGGATCACACCATGTCTAGTGGTGCTGTTATATATTCACATAAAGATCACATTCTAATGTGAGAAAACGGGTAACTGATAAAATAATTTCAGAACTATAATATAGCATCTAATTGATGCCAGTTCTCTTCCTACTCAATATTACTGCATATAGATTTCTCTGCAGGCAACTGCTGACAGAAACTGTTCAATTTTGCCTTCCTTTACATTTGTCCTTATAGTTTGGAATGTCATATGTCATTAGCATTAATAATTTGAATCCGCTATTGAGTTTCACAATATGATGTGACTGATACCAGGAAGAGGTGGTTTTGTCAGGTTGCGATGGCAGTAATTTGCATATATTGCATACAAGGTTCTTTCCTTGGTGGTTAACTTAGTGCTTAAAAACATCAGCTCAGGATATGCATCCAAGTAACCTAAGATGCAACATAAGAATTGATCCAGAGCTCTCCAAGCACTGCTAATAAGAAGTAGTTTGTGCAGATGGAAATACTCTTGAGTTTGACAATTCATGTATGCAAACCATGTAGTTCACCATGGTACTGATCCTACAGCTATTATTACAAAGGGAAACAAACTTTAAGAGTAGAAAGTTTAAATTTAATCTCCCGCTTCTATACTAGACACTATTGAAGTGATTACTGTTTCCTGAAAGTCAAGAATCCAAAACTCTGATATTCTTTTAATTGATTACTTTTATTTAGCTGTGGAAAGGACTCAAGAAAGAAAACTCGAGGAACTCCTTCTACAAGCTGCCCGAGAAGGAGAAACTGGAAAAGTTGCTGCACTGGTATACTATACACAATGCCATCATAATCAAATATAATGCTAAATGTTTAATGAAAACTAGATGAGATATAATGCTAAATGCTTAATGAAAACTAGATGAGATATAATGCTAAATGCTTAATGAAAACTAGATGAGAGGTGAAACATAGTGGAATTATCAAGAGGCCTAATTAAGGTTTGTGCTTCTAATCCTGGTTGGCTGTCCCTAGAGTACCTGAAGAGATAGCACTCTGGAAGTGTATGGCTGTAATAAATAAATGTTTTTATAACTCTCTGTAGTTAAACAGATCAAATCCTCCTGACATCAACTGTACTGATCAGATGGGAAACACACCGTTGCATTGCTCAGCATATCGTGCCCATAAGCATTGTGCTTTGAAGCTCCTAAAATGTGGCGCAGATACTAATATAAAGAACAAAAATGGTACGTAACATACCTTCATTTAATGAGTTCAGCTGTCCCCTATAAAGCTAAAAGTAAAGCAAATAGAAATAAAGTATATAATAAAGTAAATTATACATATTTTGGCACGTAAAGACCTTGTGACTTTGTATTATACAATGTTAATCAGTATGAAATTAAATTTGGTAAATAACTATTAGATGTTAGCTGCTGAACACAAATTCCTTTTAATCCTGTTACAGTTCCTATGAAACCATGTTTGAGGAAAATAAATTCTTAGAAGAGTAGGAACCTGTTAGCAAAATAAAAACACAAAAGGAATGTGCTAATTTATTATTTATTTAATTTACTGTATATTGCCGCCTATTCACCCATAGCGACTCGAGGCAGCATACACAATGTAAAACCATATGTTTTTTTTAAAAAAAATTGGTACATTAAATTTTTTAATTGGTACATTAAAAAGGCCATCTTAAAATGCCTGGATTTTAGTAAATTTTATCAAAGTTTCTATAACAATGTAATTGGTTATTTTTATTAAAACAATTCTTTCTTGAAGATAGCAACAGTAAAAGGTTGGGCAAGTAATTTGAGATTTGTTAATTATGAATGCATTACTTATACAGCTAGTCTCGACTTGCGATCACAATTGAGCCCAAAATTTCTGTTGCTAAGTGAGATATTTGTTACGTGAATTTTGCTCCACTTTATGACCTTTCTTGCCACAATTGTTAAGTGAATCACTGCAGTTGTTAAATTAGTAACAAGGTTGTTAACTGAATCTGGCTTTCCCATTGACTTTGCTTGTCCGAAGGTCTCCAAGGGGGATCACCTGGCCCCAGGATACTGCAACAGTCATAAATGAGAGTCAGTTTCCAAGTGGCCAGATTTTGATCACGTGACCATGGGGATGCTGCAATGGTCGTAAAACTGAAAAATGGTCATAAATTGCTTTTTTTCAGTGCCATTGTAACTTTGAATGGTCACTAAATGAACTTTTAAGTCAAGGACTATCTGTATTTATTACTTATGCACGTGTGTGTGTATATATCTGTGTGTGTATGACTATCATTTTCTACTCCTTTCTGAAATATATAAAAATGAGTGCATCCTAGAGGACTTCCGGTTTGTCGGCTTCGCGAGCGGCAGGGATTTGCGAAGCTGCGCGATCCCTGCCGCGCTAGCCGTTTTTGGGGCTCCGACCCACACGGGTACGGAGCTAGGCTGCCCTGCAGGGGCAGCTGAAGGTAGGGGGGATCCGGAGAAGGGACTGGGGGTGTTGCAGACCCCCTCCCTGGCCGGCAGAACCCCCTTTTCCCAGGACGGTGCAGCGGCGGTCTGTAATGGCCGCCACAAAGAAGCTGGCAGCCGGGTAAGAATGCGCAGGAGGAAGTGGAGAAAGTGATTGAGAGGAGAAAGTTTTTCTTGGCTCCTAGGACTCTAAGACATATTTAATAAAATTCCTGAAAAGTATGACTTTCTGAATAATACCTGCCAGAAGAGGAAAAAAGCGGCTGTTTGAAGGTGCTGAAAGGATAGCTTTCCCTCTTTTCCTACGGAATAAATAACTGGATATTAAGAAACCTATTTTTTTAGGTGGAAATTGGTTTTAAGCGATGAGTGGGAAGAGAGAGGATTAAAAAGAAAATATTTGTATGCTAAGACTTTGTTGGAGCAGATGCCTTAAGGATTTGAAGACTAGAATATATTGTAATAAGATTTTAAACAGATTTGGACTTTCTTTCTCTTTGATTGATATTACCCCAGAAGGAGAAAGTGAGAACTCTGCCTTGGTTTGGACTGATTGATAACTTTGGGACTGTTTTATCTTTTTTATTTTCTTTTGAATATTCTGGTTGTTGTAAGAAGAAAGAAGGAGAAAAGAAAAGAAAAGATTTATAATGGCTCTTTCTGTTGAGGAACTAAGAAAAGAATATGAACAAGCAAAAAAAAATGGTAAAGATGGTGTGGAAGAAGCTTTCCTTTTCTTAGAAATGGCGCTTACTAATTATCAACAAACATTACAACAGATGAAGACAGCAGAGGAACAAGAAAGAAAGGAAGGAGCCATCTTTAATAAATCTCAGAATCTGATCCAGAAAGAAGGAAGAGAGAAAGAAAAGAAGAGAAGAGAAAAGAAGAAAACTAAAGGACTTAAGGATTTAAGATCTAAAAAAACATTTAAGAAAGGGAAAAATAAAGTGCAAAACCAATATGATGATAGTAAACAAAGGGGAAAAGGAATACGACAGAGAAGGGAAGCCGGTAAGGCAGAGGCTAGAAGAAGGGGGGGTAGAAAGGTTTGTTGGGAGAAGAAAGAAAGGGAAAAGGTGGAGAAAAGCTACAATGTTTTGAAATTAAATGAAAAAAAGGAATTTTTTATGGATAATGGATAAAGTATAATTTTTTTTTTTAAAAAAAAGGATTTTGCAAGGTACATAAGATGAGATGGTAGTATTGTAATGGTTTAAGAGTTGATAAGAGATTAAAATGTTAAAATGTTTAAAAATGATTGGCTTTAAAATTTAATAATAGGAGAGGTTTAGAATATTGTTTTAATCAAAGAGTTTAATAAAATTATGGTATTGATGTTATTATAAAATTTTTATTATAGTATTTTTTTTTTAATATTTGGATTTATTGTCTAATTATGCACTTAATTGTGTTGGATGTATTAGTTAGATAGAATGTACCAAGCAAAATCTGATTGGGTATTAGATATTATTTTAAAGATTAATTTGATTAACTTAGGGGGGAGATAGAAAGGCATCATACTCTGATTAATGATTTCAGGAGAAACTGATTTTCTTTTTTTTTAAGGAATAAGACAAAGGGATGATAAAAAATGGACAAAAGATACAAATATAATGATTCAAACTAAGATGATTAATTAAGGTAGAATTAAGAAGTGTGAAATATGTGGAGAAGTTAATATAGAAGGCTTAGAATGGTAAATAAAATAAGTAATGATATGTAAGATGAGCATGAATATAATTGAAGTCCATGAAGAGAGAGACACCTGGGTCCAAGTTACTTTCCAAAAAGATTTTTTTTATGTTTTGTGTGTTGTGTGTATATGTCTTTTTTGGGGGGAGAATTAGTAAAAACTTGTAGAAATATAGAATGAGAATAATGGTAACTAAGTCAGAAAGAAACAGATGAAATAATAATAATGATATTGAATAAGAGTAAAGAGAAGTAAAGAGAAATTGAATAAGAGGTTTTGGTATGTTATATGGAAATGGTTTAAAACAGAATCATAATTTATCTGACTTGTTAAATTTACAATGGAAAAAGGTTTAAACATGTAATGAATAATGATAATTTGTGTGTTTTAAAAATTAATAAAACTTGTTTTTTTTTTAAAAAAAAAATGAGTGCATCCTTGGGTCTGCAGGAGTTCTTCCAGCTATTCAATAAATACTGAAGTGAGCTTTAATTATTGGTTTGGATCCTGCGTTTTGATTCCACAAATGTGCTCAGTTTTTATTGGTGCAATTTATCCCCCACCTCAATGCTTGTGAACTGAGTAAGGTTTTTTCTTTCCATTCAATTATATCTGATTTTCCAAGATTGCCTGGACAAATCCCTGTAGTTCTCTTGGCAAGATTTGTCAGAAGTGGTTTGCCATTGTTTCCTTCCTCAGGCTGAGAGAAAGTGACTAGTACAAGGTCACCCAGCTGGCTTTGGGCCTAAAGCGGGACTAGAATTCACAGTCTCCCAGTTTCTGACCTGGAACCTTGACCATTACACCAAACTGGCTTTTAATTGTTTACATTTTATCAAATACATTTTGATCTTGCTGAAAGAAATTTTGCTGTTTACTTTATCTAATATGTGAAACCTTTCAGATGCTAAAATTATATCGTGTACGTTTGTGTGATATTTTGGAGATATTTAAGAGGAGATTGAGATAAAATGTCATTTAAATTCTGCCTTAAAGCAGCAGAGCAGTCATCTAGAAATCACAACATCTTCATGTCAATGATTCATCTTATGTGTAGGTCGTAGACACGGCACAAGTATATAATTTCACCATTTGTGTGACAGTGTCATGATGCATTGCCATTCTGACATCCTTCAGGTTTGTTGCAGACACCTACAAGTAACCTATGCTTTTATTTAAAAAACCAGTCTTTTCTGTTAAACAGTATCTGCGCTGTTGTTGTTACCATATTGATTATAATTCCGATCTCTGAAGACAAATCAATCTACTCTGTTAAACAGGTCAGACACCTCTTGCTTTAGCCCAAGGTGCAGAAATGAAACAGGTGCTTGGAGAAGTCATTGCAAAGGTGGGTACCACAGATCATCTCTTAAAACTATGACTACTGTTCATAAACGTGAGTCTTAACATCTTTATTCTTTTATAGATGACCAACAAGATCCTGAAACGATATGAAGGACTACTCTGGAAGGTGCCTAGCTTCCTCCCTTCACTGTTGGTTTAATATTCAAGCTTTATTATAAACTTTTAATACCATACCTTTATTGTAAGCTGAGAGAGAGAGAGAGAACCAATAGATTTTATATGTTAATATCAAAAGAAATATAGAATATATCAATCACCTGAGCAAATTGCCTTTGCTAAGACAGTGCTTTTAAGGAAGGACATAGATGCAGAAACAAGGCTCAATAGTTAAATTATACAATATGTGTTCTTTGCATTATTTTTCCCCACTATGTGCTTTATTATTGCATTTGCCTCAAGAAGTTCAGGGTTTCTGTTCAATTGTTGTTAAGTAGAAGATGATTCAGGGAGATAGCAACCAAATTCACCCAATGAATTTGAACTAGGCTGCTACAATTATTTATGCATCCTCACCAGTTGAAGCAATTTTATGTAATACACGCAGCTTGAAACTTTGCTTCTTATACATTCAACCGAAAATTGGAACTTGTTACTGTTACAGAAGCCTGTGTCCTATCATCAACTTTGTGTCTATAAGAGCTAAATAGCAGTAGAATTAACTATTAATATTTGCTACTAAAAGCTTCCAAAAGAAGACACACTTTTTTAAAAAAAATATTGGAAAACGTGAACATTGTCCTGATCAAAAAGGCACATGGGCTGGCAAAGATTAATTGCAGCAGCTTGAGAGACTCCAAATGAATAACTTGTTTCTCTATGATTGGACAAGCAAAAAAAAATAGCGCAAGGGCAGATCAGTCCAATTTAGTTTTGCCTTTCTTTAAGGGGGGAGTTAAATATTTTACATGGATTTAAGCCCTAGCATTGCCTTTCATTGCTGGTAGTTCCCTCCAAGCTAGTTGCCTGAGAAATAGGCTGATCCAGCCCTTTTTTTTTTCCCAAACATTTTTTCCGGAGTTAAAACAATGTATCTAAAATTAGAAGTAGGATAAGCATTATTCTCATAGCATTGCCAGTCATTGTATAAGTGAAACCAAAGATATTGAGGAAAAAAATCTTGCCATTTATTTACTCCATTTCAATCCTGTAGATCCCAGAAGCCCATATTGCCTCCTTAATTTGACTAGACTTTAATTTTACAAGGAAGCAAGTGGTTGCAAAATTTCTATCCTTTGAGAAAATGTAAATCAGGTAGCAATATACTTGCATTAGTATGGACATACTTGCATTTCTTATTATCTCTTATAATTAAACTGTGTGATGGGCTTTGATTATTGCATATATCACAAGCAGATAATTTTATGTTGATTTTTAAAATTATTTTTAAAGAGTTCAAGATTTTTTGGATGGAAGCCATATTGGGTGGTCCTAGAACATGGCGTCCTCTCTTGGTATCAAAAACAGTAAGTGTAAAACTTCATCTCAATGACTGGTATACTGAAAATTGTTGTGATCAACTACTTACTTCCTTCTGTCCCTCTATCTTTTTTCCTTTGGAAGGGCTGATGCTGGAAACACTAATCGTCGTCAGGGATGCAAGCACTTAACACAAGCCATTTGCACAGTAAGCAAACCTAGAAATACATATTTTATGTGTGAATAAAATGGATTTGTGTTGTAGATTTAGGTCATGTTCAAATTGTCAAACTATATATTCAGAACAATTTAATTTTAATTTTTAATTTTTATACCTTCCAGGCATATTATAACTTGGTCTTTAGTTTTACAGTATTATTATTTCTATTTGTGATCAACTTAAACTTTACAAGAAAATGTAGAACATAAGTGTTTACATATTTGAGAATATTTTTTATTGACAATACAGCTTTTTATATAATTGATGTTTCAGGTGTGTGTGTGTACGTATGAATGAATGAATGATCGAATGATCAATCTGGTAATGAATATTATGATTCCCAGTGCTGTAGCAGTCTTAATGTTAAATATATAAAATGTACTTTTAGAATTTATTTATACTTTGTCAAATCAAAACTTGATCTAAAGCCTGGAATACACACACAGTGAGGCAGGAGCACCAATTTTGCAGTCAGTAAAGTCAAATGAGTACTGCAGTTTTTTGTATGTTAGGTTCTATATACAGATGCCGATAGCATATTGCCCTGATTTCCATTTTACTTTTGCAAGTAATGGAAAGGCAACAACTGAAGCATTTGCTTTCAGCCAGTAGAAACTGTATGTACTGTCTCTTGACTACAGATACATCAGCCATTCTCCATGTATTTTCAAGTCAACCTTTGCAGTTATGCTTATTATATTTTTTAAAGTTCCCAGGATCCTGAATATTCAATTCTAATATTTTGTTCTGTAATCCTCCCTCTCCTGCAGGCATACACCCACACCTGTGAGTTTTTGTTGAATTGTACTCATAACCCTACATCGGTGTTGTTTCACCTAATGCACCTTTTGAGTGGGTAGAGTTCTGGAGTTTGCATTCATAATATATCTGGTAGGCGGAAGGGAAGGGTTAAACTAGAATTTCTGGTTGTAACTTTTTAGTGCAGGAGACCATAGTTTTTTAACATTTTAAAATATTACCAATTTTTATTTCATGTTTTTCCAAAGAGAATTTTTTAGCATGCACAGGCAAGTGGGAGATAAATAGAAATCACATTTTGTTTCTATAAACATTCATTTTTATTTTACACTCTGGTCATTTTTTACTTGAAGCAACTACACAGAAAATCTAGGCAAGTTGAAACAAAGCTAAACTTAACTATAATGCTTTCTTAATTGCTCAGGCAATTTTTTTGCAACTTTTGCAAATAATCATATGATGCATCTATTCAATCTATATATCTGCTTTCTGGTGTTTACTGCAGGTGAAAAATGCAGATGGTTACCTCTTCTCCATCAAGTGCTTTGATAATACAATTCACAGTTTTAAAGTTCCTAAGGCCAGTCAAGAGACAAGAGACGTAAGTCCCTCTTTATCTAATTCTAGTTAACTTGTAAAATAAAGTTCCATTGAATAAGTGTTCAATTTTTTGATTGACCAAGTAAAATCTGCAATTAAGAAATAGTAGAAAAGATGCTAGCCCACATGATGTTAGCACTTTTCCTGGTTTAAGACTAGTATCTCAGAGTATAGTATTTCATAAAAAGGAACCAATTTTCAACAACTCAAATCTCCTCACAATACCTTTGTCACCATCATATTTTGTTGCCTCTAAATGGATGACAGGAGCCAATATGGTTGTTTTTTAAATGTCATGCATATTATAGCACCAGAGTTGAATTGAATTTAAATCTCACGTGACCTTCCAGAGCCCTACAAAAAGTTGCCTCTAAAATCTTAAGTGTGAGAAAAAGGGAAAAAATTAAATATAGGTAAAGTAATCATTAAGCAGAATAATTAATTCAAAATCAGTCTTTGTCCTGAGACCATCCACATCTTGGAATAAAGCATTTGGCACATGCCCAGAAATTAGTTGTATCCTTCAATCTATAAAAGGTATCCTATCACAAGTGTATGTTCTACTAAACTGATTTTTTGTTTCCCACTTTATTTCAGAATTGGATACATGCAATAGAAGATCATTCAGCATATAGCACACATTACTGTACTCAGGAACAACAAAGTGATGAGGAGGAAGAAATTGATGCAACATCTATTGCTGAGTTACAAGACTCCCTAAAAGTAAGTGAGAAGAAGCTTTTTTTATTTATTTCAAGCAATCTACTGTGAAAGTCACTGAACGTTATAGACCAAAATATTTGAGAAGCATCAGGTTTGCCTAGTCTGACAATTTATAGAATTATATGTATAGAATTCTGGATTTCTTCCTATGAAATATCAGCACAATACTAGTAGAACATAATGCACATAGATAAAACCATAAACCCAGTTATGTGCAAAATAGCTTTATATTTATAATAATTTTCAAGTCCAAAATAGGTTTTTCAGATATGGATGTACAAGCTGTAGTTTGGCAAAGACAATAATATTTTGAGTGTTACCTCTAAAATGACATTCTAGATTAATGCATCATTGCTTTGAAGAGACGATTGCATATAGGGAAATATTCTGGACATAATTCTGGACTTATTATACTCTGACTTCATAGGGCTTGCTTCAGCTCTAAGACTGTGGTCTTAATATATGGTTGTACTGTCCATCAGCACATCATCATCAGGCATTTACAGAAAGACATTTTCAGTGGCAGGGCTAGATTCTAGAGTTTCTTTCCTTGGTGTTGTTTGGCCAAAAAGCTAAACTATATACAATTAATCCTTGGTTAACATCAATAATTAGAACTGGGAAACTCCACCACAAAGTAGTGTGTTCATAAAACACACATATCTGACCATTCCAATGTACAACAGCAGTTCCTGCAATCCAGGTTGTGGTCACTAAGCAAATTGCATATGGTCATTAAGTTCAATGTCATGTGATCACCATCTGCAACCTGCCAACTTCTCCATTGGCTTTGTGGGAAGTCAGCAGGAAAGATTGCAAATGGCAGTCAAGTGTCCACAGGATTGCAATTGTTGCATTGCAACTGTTAGCTAGTTGCCAAGTGTCGAATCGCAACCATATCACTGTGGGGGAACACTGTGATTTATTGTAAAAATAATAAAGGCGGGAAATAAATAATTCTGGCATTCAATGGAAAAGAAGACAAGGGTACTCTAGATCAGGAGTCTCCAACCTTGGCAACTTTAAGACTTGTGGACTTCAACTTCCAGAATTGAAGTTGAAGTCCACAAGTCTTAAAGTTACCAAGGTTGGAGATCCCTTGCTCTAGATTGGTTGTTTTGTTTTGTTTTGCTGTTGCTACTTCTAGCCAGAAGAGCGAGCTCATCTCTCCTGATTAAATCTTAAACCATAATAAAGTTATACAGTATCATACTCTGTTAATTAGATTCCATGTCAGTGTCTATCATCAACAGCTGTTTAGCAAATAGCCACTAAGACAGACATTTGTTTCTGTCTTGCCAATAGCATTGATCTTTCTAGACTTGAACAATTATTACATTAATATACATCGGATTTACAAAATCATATAACAACTGAGAAATTACTTATGGTTCATTGTATCTTGTATCTTTATCTCTCCTTGAGTTCTCATAGAATTCTCTGTTTCCTAATTTCTGTATACCAGCTTTGTCCATGAATTGAATCAGCTCAGAATAGTTGTGTCCTTTTTCTTTAATGGGAGGAAGTGTGTTTTGGTACTGTATACCTACCGTAATAGCAAAAACCTTCAGGAAAAAAATAGTATATGGTTTTTCTCTCGTGGTATAGAGAAGGTTGAGGTCATTTGTTTGGAAAGTTGGAGTACCTGCCTCCTCACCCATCTTTTCTAATTCTGTCAAGCAATGCAGAAATGTTTGATTGGGTAGAACCAGGAGCTTTAATAATAGAAAGCTGCTGCATATGCTGAGCTTGCAGTGTTCCTAGCAATAAAATAGAACACAAGGTTATGTGTATTATCCATTCCTTAGTAATAAGTATTTGATCAAAGAAGGGACTGACTTTTTAACATAAATACTAGAAGAGGGGTGTCAAACTGGTAGCCCGCAGGTCAGATACATGCAGGCCACACCTACACCAGCTCCGTGAAGGGGGAAAATGTCACGAAATGTCACTTGATGGCAAAGTGACACCTCAAGCTTGAAACCCGTGTCCTACAGCTTTTGGAATGGGACAACTATAACAAACCATCATCACCTAAATATAGTTTTGATGGTGACATGGTATG